GTCTTGAAAATTAAAATATATATATATATATATATATATATATGTAGTAAGATTTATGTATATTTCTTGGAAAGACAGATTTTTTTGGTTTCCTAGGCCGGAAGTATGGAGCTGGGTGAGAAATGGAGCAGTGGGGACACAAACTGGCACCCATACAGGATGCTGACGCTGGCAGAGAATTAGCCAGTTGAGCCACCACACTGGCCCCAAAAATAAACCTTTTTTTATTTCTTTTTGGTTTAATTTCTTGTCATCAAAACCGCTATTTTTTAAGCTTGAAGACATCAGTTTTCTTTGTAACTAATGCTATGGAGACTTCTTTAAATCTTCATGCATGCCTTATAGGCATTAATTCTCTTTGTCAGTGAACACCTGAATGAAAATAACACTATTGTAACTGAGCTACTGGGATAATTCCTTTCTGGGCCAGAGCCATAAGCACTCAGAAAAGCCCTGCAAAACTCTGTCATGCACACATCAGCCAATTTGAAGTCTTCTTGCTGAATCATGACTTTTTCATATGATTTATGTCAAGAAACCATTCCATACAGGATCAGTGAATACTGATTCTCTTTAAAAAGTACTTGGGGGCTTCACACGATGCCTCAATGGCTAAGTCATCACCTTGCAAGAGTCAGGATCCCATACGGGCACTGGTTAGTGTTCCGGTTGCTTCACTTCACATCCAGCTCCCAACTTAAGGCCTGGGCAAGCAGTGGAAGCCTTGGGACCCTGCACCTTGTAGGAGACCCAGAAGCTCCTGGATTTGGATTGGCTCAGCTCTGGCCGGTGCAAACATTTGCAGAGTGACTAGCAGATGGACCTCTGTCTCTGTCTTCTGTCCGTATTTCTGACTTTCCAATAAAAATAACTCTTTGGCCCAGTACGGTGGCCTAGCAATGCCTTGTTAGAGTTATAACCCAGTTTAGACTATCCTAAAATTTGCCAAGTTCAGCAACATTATGCTTCAACACTATAAATTGCTAAATACTAAAATGAAAACAGTCACAAGACAGCTGAATAGTACCCTATAGCCATTTTAAGGTGTACAGCAGCCAGTTCTGTGTATAAACTAAAATTGAAATATCAATGAAGTAGTCACAGGATGTGGTTAAGAACTTGCATTTTTTTTAACATATTGGTTACTCAATATCATGTCAATTAATTCCATAATGTTGTAAATTGTCATTGATGTTATGTTGTGGCTTTAAATTGATCGGGATGATATTCTGCCAGCTCTGCCTTCAGACCAGAGAGGGTCTCCCCAAGAAACTGTTGAATTTGCCTGGACAATAAGATGCTGGACTCTGCTTGGTATACGCTTGCAATGAAAGAATCTTGACTGAATTTGCAATGTAATACAGCAACAAGGTAAAGAAATCCACCATGGGGAGAGGGTATGGGGAGGGGCTGGGGGATTCCCAGAGCATATGAAATTGTGTCACATAATGCAATGTAATTAATTACAAATATGTTTAAAAAAAAAAAAAAGAATGGCTACTGTGCAACGATGTTGACATCGCTTCTACGTCGTTTACAAAACAAGCAGGCACCTGTCTGGAGCACTGAGCAGCTTCAAAGAGAACCACCCTTCCCACAACAGGCCCAGTGTGCCATCAGATCTCTACTGCCAATACACAGCACGCTTCTCACGTATACTTTCACAACCTACAGACACCATCCTCTCATAACTAACCAAGTTTCTAGTCACCGAAGAACAAATTGCAACCACACTGCTAGGATTCCCTGCAAACCTCAACAAGCAAAGGGACCCCAGCCCTCTGCAGTTACTGAGAACTCTGCTACACCGAGAGGCTGCTCCTACCGAGCCGACGGCAAAACTGACGACAGCGATCAAAACACTTCCGCCCATGAGCAAGGTCACTCACCATCTCTACAATCTCTTCTTACACACACCTGAGATTAAAAACTAATTTGCAGTGCCCTGAGCTTGAATATCAAATAGAAAACTGCACCAGGAAGAAAAATATATTTTTAAACATTATTCAAACTCCAAAGTGTCCTTACAAAAAGAAAAGAAAAAGAAAAAATATTGGAGAGTACCGGAAACTTGGGGCTATGTTGAACTGCCCTGTACCACCACAAATCCAGGGCAGGTCAGAGGGTGCTGTCAGAAGCAGTATCCTCAAGGGACAGGGAAGTTGTGATTAGAAGAAGCAAGGGCAGTGTGCAGGCCTTCAGCCCTGACGGAGGGACTGGCAGCGCCCAGGGCACAATGCAGGGGTGGAGAGCTGGATCGCCAATGTCTTCATTGCCCTTTTTAACGACTATTTAAACGGTAAACCATATACACTGAACTTTCTTTTTTGTTACTTTCGTGTCCCAACACTGAATGTCTCATTTCCGATAGTTTCATTTTGTAATACTTCTACGTTTATTACATGCTATTGTTTCATAGATGGAAGAATCTTCTTTAATCTTACAAGACACTTTCTTCTCCCATTGTTTCTTTCAAGTTATTCTGTGAGTGTGCACATAATTCAACTTTTTCATTTCCCTGCCTATTTGCTCATACCGAAGAATGAATTGTTAAAAAAAAAAAAAAAACTGGTTGGAGGGACAGGTGCTCGGGGCACCAGCATCCCCCGCCAGAGTGCCTAACGTCCAGCTCCACCTTGCGTCTGCTCCAGCTGCCCGCTGCGGCACCTGGCAGGCAGTGTGCAGTGGCCTGTGCACTTGAGGTCCAGTGTGAGAGAACTCCATGGAATTCCTGGCTTCTACTTATGCCGCAGGCTGCGTCCAGCGGCCGTGTCATTTGGGGAGAGGACCAGCAGCGGAAGACTGGTATCACTCCTCTTCCCGTCTCCCCCTGCATTCCCTCAAATAAACAACCCCTGAAAAAAATTAAAAAATAAAACTAGAATCTCTATGCAGAGTTGAAAGCTCTCTAATCAAGCTCCCAGCCCCTTTTTTATTGCAGAAGACACACAGAGAGGAGGAGAGACAGAGAAGATCTTCTGTCTGCTGGTTCACTCCCCAAGGAGCTGCAACAGCTGGAGCTGAGCCAATCCAAAGCCAGGAGCCCAGATCCTCCTCCAGGTCTCCCACGCAGGTTCAAGGTTCCAAGGCTTTGGGCCGTCCCTGACTGCTTTCCCAGGCCACAGGCAGGGAGCTGGATGGGAAGCAGGGCTTCCAGGATTAGAACTGGTGCCCATATGGGATCCCAGCGTGTGCAAGGCGATTACTTAAGCCACTAGGCTACTGCGCTGGACCCTTTTAGTGGGGAATCTTAGATGCATCATTTGCCTTTTCTTTAGACCTAATCAAATCTCCCCTGAGAAAGCTTTTCTGGTTTCCAACCGACACATGTAAACCTAGTTCTCAGTGTTCTGGGTCTAAGGAAGGGTATGACACAGGCTAAAGAAAAAGGACCTAACCAGCGGAGTGGCAGCACAAACTCCAGAATTCCTGTTACACAGCTCTGGTGCACAAGCAGGTGACCTGGGAGTCTAAGGGGTTTCTAAGACTTTCAGCCACTTGTTCTTAACCCCTTTAGCATCTCTTTTTCCTAAGACACCTGAATCCTCAAATTCTAGGCCTTTCAGGATTCTGCCCCGTGTGAAACGGCCATTCTGCTTCCTCCAGCGTAGCCTAGAGTTTTACTTTCTTTAAGTCAGCCATGAGTGAGAACTCCCTGAACTGCTTTCTAATTCCCCAAATGGCATCCCCATCCTTAGGCTGTCATTTGAATTTCTCTCTTTTAATCTTTAACTGTTTCAGGCCTGGGGTTTGTCTCTGCGCTGTTGCTTTTTTAAGGCTGCAGACAAGTCTGTTTCCAAGCAAGCCCATGCCCAGCTTCCCCATCCGAATCATAAGCTTTCAAACTCTTGTTTTCTAAAGGAAGCTTAGAAGACAGTGAACGTGCTCTGACTGCCAGCTTCTTCCACAGCTGCAGACTCCCTGCTCACCGTGGGTCTACTGACCATCTTACGCTCTCTTTAACACAAAAGCTTTTGATTGAAGTGTATTAACTTTGTAATAAGAAATAATTATTTCTTCATAAGTTCAGGCACAAAGCAAAATAAATAGCAAAAGGCTGTCCCTACCAACTTGCACAGATCTAGGCAGTGCCAACCCCAGGAACTCTTCACAAGCCGTAGCAGGTGTCTTTGTCCCACTCTCTTCCGCAACAGGCCATCTATCATTTGTCTTTTCTCTACTTCTAATCTGACGCCAACCGAGCAAGTGTCAGCAGACCCCCCTCCTACAGATCCACTGGGAAATAAAGTGGCCCTTTACAATCCCCTTATCAGTGTAACCACCAAAGTCCCCCAAGCATCTTCCACTTACAGTATAGCACTCCAAATATGGGCACACTAAAGATCTGCCACCAGCAGAAATCCAGAAGACAGCTCGGTCCTCCACGGCAGGTAATTCAGACAGGGTAACATCTGAGACTCAAAAACGTAAAGGTGTTTCAGTTGCTAGAAACACCTGTCTAGACAGCAAAAGCTGCGCGCGCGCGCGCACACACACACACACACACACAGAGCATGGCCCCTTCCGTCAACACTGAGCTTACCTTTACATTAATGCTAACAAATGCATAACTCAGTTCCTTTCCCAGTAATTACTTCGCACAGTCCTTTGCATAGCTGTAAGGGATCAACACCAAGAGAAACCCACGCCTCTCCGTCACTGACCCCACCGACCGCAGGCGCCCCTCGGCTTCGGAAAGTACAATTTTGGAGGCTCTACTAGTGTTCCCTTTAGTTGGATTTACAGAATTCCTCCTATTCTTTAGTCATTCTCTAGATTTCTACCTACAACTCATACTAAGAGAGGAAAACACAATCTGGCAGTCAGTACTTGCAAAAAGATGAGGACACCCACCGAGAAAGCTCTTACACCATGGGTGCAAGAAAGATGAAAGCTGTTGAATATGTTTATTTAGAAAAAAGAAATATTTATATAGCAAGAGCAAACCTAAAGAGGGAAAAAAACGCCTTTATGGTCACATCCATGACCCCAGCTGGCTGCTCCCACCAGATGTTTTAGTATCTGTGTCACAACTCTTCTGCATAGATCACAGGCTCCTCTGTGATCTGTGCCAGACTGACTATCCACCACTGGACCCACTGCAATGGCTCAATTGGCTAATCTTCCCCTGCAAGCACCAGGACCCCATATGGGTGCCGGTTCATGTTCCGGCTGCTCCACTTCCTAAACAGCTCCTCGCTTTTGGCTGGGAAAGGAGCCTGTGGCCGCATGGGAAACCTAAAAGAAGCTCCTGGATGCTGGCTTCAGATCGGCTCAGCTTCAGCCATTGTGGCCCGTGGGGAGTGAGCCAGTAGGCAGATCTTTCTCTCTCCTTCTCTGTATAAATCTGCCTATTAAAATAATAATAATAAAAAAATCTTAAAAATATTTTTAAAAGGTTATATCACTCCAGCGTCTGGGTCCTGGCCCCCTACCCTGCCTGCCCTCCTGGGAAGCCTGCCCCAACTCTGCTCCCACAGGGCTTGTGTTTCCCCTGCTCTTCGCTGGCTGCTTCTCCCTCTAAGAACAATGGTCTAACACACAGATGTGAACTTTCCCAAACTTCCCTCACACACCTTGGCGTCGTCCCAGCACTTCTAACACCAGCAACCCCACGATGCAGATGGCCACAGCTGGTCAAGCCTAAAAGGGACCAATGCAAACGTTAAGTATTTTCACTGTCTACCCAAAAGAAAAAAAAATGTATTACCCAGTAATCTTCTAGTGTTCATAGACTTCAGTGGAGTTTATGCTGAAACAGTTGTTAACACATGGAAGGGGAGGAAATAATACAAATAAGAAACTCAGGTGAAGTTCAAGATTTGGCAAGGTAAGGGTCAAGATGGAGGAGACTGGGACTGAGCAACTGGACAAGCTTTCACAGAGGGTGTCAGAGCCTGCAAGACTCGGACTATTTGGGGAGCGGAAGCAGGTGTTCCAGGTGTGGGCAGCAGCATGAACACAGGCCCTGAGGCAGGGATGAGCACAGCTCGTGGGAAGGTGAGTGGAGGTACGGCCACAGCTGGGGCGGAGCAGGACCCCTGGAGAGCGGCAGGAGCTAAGGCAGAGGATGGCAGCTGGAGACCGGCCAGGGACGGCCCGGCAGCCTTGAGAGGCTTCTTCTCCACCGAGTGCAATTTCTGATGCTGAATGAAACTTCCATACCATTTGAAGGCTTTCCCACACACCTTGCACGCGTAGGGCTTCTCTCCAGTGTGCACTCTCTGATGCTGAATGGAGGCTACCTTCTGAGTAAAAGCTTTGCCACACTCCTGACACTGGTAGGGTTTCTCCCCAGTGTGAACCCTCTGGTGGACAACAAACAGTGACCTGCAACCAAAGGCTTTCCAGCACTCCTTGCATTTGTAGAGCCTCTCCCCTGTGTGCAGCCTCTGGTGCTGGAGGAAGGCGGCGCTCCTGCGGAAGGCCTTGCCACAGTCCTTGCACACGTAGGGCTTCTCCCCCGTGTGGATCCTCTGATGCTGGGTCAAGGCCGTGTTGGAACTCAGTCCCCTGCCACACTCCTTGCACTCGTAGGGCCCCTCCCCACTGTGGTTCTTCTCGTGTACGATACAGTCATAGCTGGACTTGAAAGCTTTGCCACACTCCTTACACTTAAAGGGCCTTTCCCCAGTGTGGCTCATCTGATGCCGGATAAGTTTTGAGTTATATCTGAAGATTTTCCCACATTCTTTACATTCATAGAACTTCATTCCCCCTCGAAATATCAGATTTGGATTTGGATCAGGAGTCGGCCTCGCTGCCTCGTGTCTAACATCACAGTGCTCAGACACAACTGCAGAGAGTCCTCCTCCGACAGGCAGTCCATGCGACGCCGACTCTTCGGGGCTTTTCTGCCTTATCGGCGGCTCTTCCCGTGGGAGCCAGGACTCAGCACCTGGCCGAAGAAACCACAAGCATCCCCCGTTACTGGACCGGAAGAGAAAGGGAACCCAGCGGGGTGGGTTCAGAGGTGTGGAGGAAGAGACGCTGCCTTCTACAACCTCACCTGGGATACAAACAGTATAAATCTGTACACAAAATCTAGGTGATTTAGATACTAAAAAAGCAAATTAAAGCCATTTTGTTTAATTACTGAAGGTGTAAGAATAATTTGTAGCGGTGACAAAAAATCAATCAGTTCCTCCTATAGAATTACAGTATCTTTAAAGTTGGCTGAAATCCTACTTCTTACGGTGAAAAACTATCTACTAGGCCTGGCACGGTGGCCTAGCAGCTACAGTCCTCACATTGCACGCACTGGGATCCCATATGGGCGCCGGTTCTAATCCCAGCAGTTCCACTTCCCATCCAGCTCCCTGCCTGTGGCCTGGGAAAGCAGTTGAGGACAGGCTGAAGCCTTGGGAACCTGCACCCGCGTGGGAGATGAGAAAGTTTCTGGCTCCTGCCTTCAAATTGCTCAGTTCTGGCCAGTGCAATCACTTGCGGAGCAAATCAACAGACAGAAGATCTTCCTCTCTGTCTCTCCTCCTCTCTGTATATCTGACTTTCCAATCAAAATAAATAAATCCACCCATATAGGATCCAGGCACCTGCAAAGCAAGGACTTTAGCCACTAGGCTACTGCACCAGTTCCAAAATAAATAAATCTTAAAAAAAAAAATACCCACTGCTGACCAGTGTCACGGTTCAGGGGTCACAGTCTTCACTAGATAAGGAGAGCAGCCGCACAGTCCGAGGGGTTAGTCACAGGCTCAGGGCCAGGATCCAGGCAGCGGTCAGCGTGCGCCAAGCACTGCCTGACAGTGACTACAGCTCTGCTCCCTGTGACAAAAGCAGAACCTCCCCCACAGTAAACCAGGCAGGCACAAGGCCAGCCTAACACTAGGTTCTTTTGCTCACCTGAGCTGACACCGTTCTCGGTGTCCCAGGGACCTGAGCCGCATGGTACCTCCCCTCTCTCCAGCTGAGAGATAAGAACAGGTTTGGGGAGTGAAGATGCTACAATAGGAAGAATAAAAAGAAACACAGGTTGAGGAGAGACATCTAGAAATACTCCTGAACCTTTCTCCGCCCACCCACTTCATGGCGTGGGTATGGACAGAAACCCAACTCCCAGGAGCTCATGCAGGCTACAGTGGAGTTCTCAGGAAGGGTTCCCACTGCTCCCCCGCGAGGCCAGGAAGACTGTTCTAGAAAAGCAAGTCCACAATCTGGCCTGACCTACAATACAGGATACTCCCCGGGGAAGGGTGCAGAGACCTTCCCGGCCTCCAAGGAAGGCCCATCTCTCAAATAAGGGCAGATGGGGATTTTCCCCTGAGTAGCCCTCTGTGGGCAGCAAATCCCAGAGGTTCTAGAATCCCCTCAAAGCTGGAGGAGATGTCACACCACCACAAAGCACCTAGGGAGAGCACCTTACCCAGTGAAGCGACGGTCGCATAGTTCTCCAGCATCACCTCCCTGCACAGGGCCCTCTGCACGGGGGTCAGGCTGGCCCACTGCGCCGGCGAGAAGCACACCGCCACATCCTCAAAGGTCACGGGCTCCTGAAACAACAACAGGTACTTTCTCAGGCTCGGCGCGGGGCAGCAGGGACAGGCCTGCCAGGGGCTACTGCCATGCCCTATCCGTTGGCACATATCCCACCACACACATGCTAAAGCTGTCCCAATCACTAGGTGCTCCCTCCCCGCATGCCCCAAGGACTGCCCCACGTGGCCCAGAACGACCATGCCAACACTTGGGTGATTAGCACCTGGGTACTGGCTTTTAGGTAGGCAATTTAAAACCTTGTAGTTTACTCCATTGTTAAAACATACACATAAAGTGGGAATTATCATTCCCATTTCTCAGATGAGGAAAGTTCACTCCCAACTCTGCTGAGAGCCTAAAACTGCTATAAAATAGACTTAATCAAAACATTAATAGTGACAATATTTAATCTCTAGAATCCAAAATCCTCTTAACTGGCCTGGAATTCAAATTCTCTTAAGCGGCCCATACCCACCCCATCCCTCCCCCTACAACTTGCCTCCAAGGACTAGAAATTCTTTTTGAGATCTAAGTCCAACCACATTATCCTCCCCATCCCTGTTCTCCAGCCTTCCACTGAACCCAGAACAGAAATCAAAGTCTTCCGCAGGACCTATCACGAGGGGGTGTCCTCCTCTCTCCTCCTACTGAATCACTTCCCTCCACTCAACCCCGGCGCCTCTGAATTCACACTTGAGAACAACACGGCTTCCCTGTCATACTGTCGCAATATCCCGACCCCGAATTCCTCTGGTTTCGGAGAGCGTGGTCTGGATTTGCACAGGCAGGGCGATGGCCTTGGCTCGGCCATCCTTCTCAAGCTGCACATCCAAGCGCTCTCCCCGAAACGCGCACTTCCTACTCACAGATGTCCACCTGCCACAGCCCGGGCGAATGAGAATCAAAAGGGAGGGGAGAGAACGGCCTTGTGGCCAAACCACGCCTTCCTTCGCCCTTTCCTGATGACAACTGGAACTCCCGACTCACCTGGGGCCACGCTGCCCGCGGCATGGCTGCCGGCCCCGGGGCTCGCACAGAGGAGCTCTCCGCCCTGCGCCCGGGGGTCTCCCACGGCCTGCACGGGAAGCAGACTGGAGGACGGGTCTCCTCGGTCCCTCCGGGAATCGCCACAGCTCCGTCCTGACGGGCATTCCTGGCCCCAAGGGACCCGAGTGCCCCGGTCCCTACAGGTGAGGGATGTGCACGAACGTCCGAGCAGCGAAGGAGACAAGGAGGGAGTGACAGACGCGACCCCTCGGGTGGCGCTGACCCAATCCAGCTCTTACGAACACTCTCTCCAGGGACGGAGCAGGACCCTCCCTCCCGCACACGTCAGAGCCTTGGGTACGAAGAGCCTGAGGCGAACGCTGCGGGCTGTGTGAGGGCAGAAAGGCCGCTCACGCCGCGGCGGCACCGCGCGGGGCCCAGGGCCGCGCGTCTACTTCGGGCGGCTTCCGCCAGGCCCACACGCCCGAGCTCCGGATGACGGAGAAGAGGGTCGCCATTGGGAGCGAGTTCTAGGGGAACCAGGCTGGTGAGCCGCCAGGGACGGGAAGAGCAAGTCCACAAACGGTGGGGGACCTCTCACGGGGGGGCGGCCTAACCCCTCACGCAGGCGCGGTATCTAGAAGCCGACCCGGAAGCGTGAGCGCACACGCCGGGGGCTCTCTAGGCCGCCGGGAGGCCGCCCGCCTCGGTGGTCGCCGGTCCCACGTGACTGGCCGTGCCCGTCGGCAAGGAGGCGGGGTTGGGCGGCTGGCTGCCCGGGTGGCTCCCGTGCTGCCCGAGCTGCTGCACACAGGGTGACCACGGCGTGTGCACGCCGAGCGGGGGTCCTACGCTGTCGGCCGCCTTTACGGACTGCGTGGGTCACCTGAAACCCCGGGCTGAGCAGGTGTCCGGAGACAGGCACCTGTTGTGTGGTCTCTAAGAGGCCCAAGTCAAGGCCTGGCAACTTTCAGAAAAACTGTTTTCCATCTCCTCTCTTAGCCCCCTCCCATCTGAAGATCCGACTGTAAGACCAATTTTAGAGCAGGCCGACTTGCTTGATACCCGAACTAACGGTGATTTAGATCGCCAAGTATTCTGTACCTACAGGACGACCCCAACAAGCTGCTTAATCAGAGACTCAAAGGAATGAAGCTTCGTTTCAAAATCCCTGCTCTCTGGGCAGGCTCAACCCTTCCCCTCTCCTTTCATGCCCCTCCCCCATTCTGACTCCCCCAAAAAAAGTCCCCTACTTTTGCTACCCTCTCTTCTTCAAACTCTAGGACCTGACACCCTAAAGGTCCTCTATTTAGCATTTCCACCCAGTGACACTTTCATTCAAATGACACCAGTAGCTGGAGAAAAACAACATCATAGCTCCTAAAATAAAGATTTGAACCATTTCTAACATTTCTCCTGCAGGTTTGGCCAGTGGAAGGAGCTGGGAGGTTTCTAGAAGGAAAGAGTCAGAAATACTTTTCATATTCAAGAAGAGGGAAAAAAATACTGACCAAAATCCTAATTACACAACGTGAGCACAACACACGTGAAAAGTAGTCCAATCAAGCAATTGGAGTGCCCCCAGTAAACACACTTCCAAAAGTAAGCAAATCAATTGCAGCTCCACACTTACAAAAGGAACTAGCCAATGAGAAACATCCCTAAAAGCCAGCCAATCAGAACAGCCCTACCCGCCGGACACCCAATCAACATGTGTCTAATCTCGGTAAGCAACTCCTGAAAACCGGCAGGTCAACAGTGGTCTTATCTGGCCGCAGGGAGAATCAAGATTTGTGGTCTAACCTTGGAATGCATGTATCGGGACTGGGGACTGGGCATCCTCGATGGCAGATGCCTGTGCAGTGGGTGGCATGCCCAGGTGCATAAGGGGGACATGACAGCCAGCTCATTTGTCCTGCAGAGGACATCGAGTGCCATGTAAGAAAATGGACAGCAGAAGAGGTTGGAAAAGTCTCCTGGCTCGGCTTTGGCAGCAAGTGTCCGTGTGAGTGGACACAGCCGAGGACCTGGTAAGGATTTTCTCAACCTTGGGGCTGCAGAACCAGCAGCATCTCAGAACTATCAAACTACTGGAGCAGTAGCCTGAAAACATTCTCCACATCGGAGTTTCTAAGACAGCATCAGATAGACATGCCCCATCCCTGGGTGCTAAAGTATGGCAACTGGGAACGGACCCCTCTCCCTCCCTTGCTTCCCCCTCCCAAATACAGGAGAAAAGGAAAATTGGAAGCATTTGTCCTACCTACCTTCCCTCATACCTTAACCCTCCCCACCGGAATCCACGGTCCTCATGGGTGTGCATTCTTTTCAAATATATAAAAAACATCAAAAACTATGGGTCCAGCGCAATAGCGAAGCAGTTAAGGTCCTTGCCTTGAATGTACCAGGATCCCATATGGCCACTGGTTCAAATCCCGGCAGCCCCACTTCCCATTCAGCTCCCTGCCTGTGGCCTGGGAAAGCAGTCGAGGATGGCCCAAAGCCTTGGGACCCTGCACCTGCAGGGAACTGGAAAAAGCTCCTGGCTCCTGGCTTCAAATTGGCTCAGCTCCAGCCACTGCGGCCACTTGGGGAGTGAACCATTGGACGGAAAATCTTGTCTCTTCTCCTCTCTGTATATCTGACTTTCCAATAAAAATAAATCTTTTAAAAAATAAGTAAATATCAAAATAAAAACAGTGCCATGTGCAATGAGTAAACACTGCTCCTAACTGGGTCATCAGCAGAGCAAACTCCACGCCACAAGGAGCACTTCATACCTGACCTCTCCTCTGTATTCTGTGGTGCAGCCCAGCACTCCTGATTTTAACTTGGCCCTCAGTTTCCCAAATCCTGTGAACATGCAGGTCTGATTCAGGTGGTCTGGGTGGAGCCGGAAATTCTGCCTTTCAAGCCAGCCCTGGGATGGGGAGGACCAGGCTGGTGGCACCAACACTGTCAGCTTGCATGCACGTGGAAGCTCACCTGCCAGGCTAATTTCTTGGCCAGCAGCTACCTTCTTTCCCAACCAATCTATTCTCTCAATTCCCCTAGCTCGCTCCTTTCCAGAACAGTCAAGATGGAGGCAACGCTGAATACAGACCTAAACTGATGATTTGTGCTTTACCCAAGGGAAGCCGGAAGGCAGCTCGGCTCACCTGGGACCACACTGGATCCTGGTGGACCACCACTGGCTTCAAGCACTGCCCTCTGTTGGGAAAAGCAAGAACGTACAGGGGCCAGCAGCATGACACAGGAGGATAAACATGTTTGGGCATCTCGTATGAGGGACAGCACCCACATGGGAAAATCGGAAGCAGCTCCCGGTTCTGCCCATTGTGGGGAGTGAATCAGCAGACGTAAGATCTTTCAAATAAAATAAATCTAAAAGCAAAGTATCCTTAGAGCTAAGAGGAGCAAGAACATAGCAAGACCCAATGTGACACAGGTGCTTGGCACCCTTGCATTCTCTGGTCCCTGCCCCTGGAAACCCTCTCAGCACACGCTGGCTGTACTCAACTACACGCTCCACGGACTTGTGTGCCAGATTTATCAGGAGGTAAATCTTGCCCAAACAGCTACAAATTCATAGAATTGTCTATGAATCCGGAGTCAAGACCAGCAGCGCCATCAGTGGCCTGAGAAAATCCTTTGTCCTGCACACTTCTGGAGCATGCCAAAATAACATGGAAACCCAGAAGCAACTGAGGGCTGCATGACAAAAACCTCCCTGAGGAGGTGCTGCCTGGAGACCACGCAATCTGAATGCAGGTGACCACTGTAATGGGTACAGTGTCATGGGACAGAAAGCTGTGAGACCAGCTCCTCTGGGCAGGAGAGTGCACTGCCCTTAGGCCGGTAGGGGTCTTGACTTCGGAGGATCTGGACTGCCGCTCCCCTCAACAACCATCAGCCCTCTGAGAAGTGCCCTCACTGCCGTCAGGGCTCCGTAGGAAGCTGGGAGGCCTGTGGGTCTCGGTGGTTCCAGCTGAACACCTGTTGCACCCTGGCTGTTGGTGATGAGTTCTATCCAGCTTCTCAGCACCCCAAATGGACCCTGGGTGACTCCAGGACGGCCTGCGAGGAGGCACACCTGCAGTGAGCATGGGTTCTGCCTCCTGCCATCTTCAGGCAATAACCTGGGCTGTGAGGCTGCCTGGACAGGCTCCAGCATGGTTTACTCTGTCCATCACGTTCCAATTTCTCTTCTCAGGTTGACGGCTCTGATCCCAATAACTGAGCCTGTTCAGGTCAGGCACCCAAAAAGCCAGATTTCAGAACCTAGGTATCAGGGATTCATTCTCCACTGCAGCATAAAAACACCACTCTAGGATGTCCCAGAAATACACTAACAAGGCACAACCTTACCATGGCATTGTGCTAATTATCTGAAACAATTTTCTTGAAGTTCACAAACCTGATCAAAGCCCTTAAACCAGTTTTTAAATGCACAGACTTGACAAATTGGCCAACATGTCAAAGAGGTGCTTTATTACTTTCCAACAGCTCACGCTTTCTTGCCCGATGCCTTTGGAGCAGACGCCTTTTGGCCCTTCTGGGCCTTAGCAGGCGCCGCCGCCTTCGGGGCCGCAGCCTTCTGGGCCGGGGCCTTTGGGGCCGCAGCCTTCTTGCCTGCAGTGGTCACCTTCTTCGCTGGAGCCTTAGCAGCCGCCGCCGCCGCCACAGCCCCCTTAGCAACAGGTGCTTTTTTAGGAGAAGCTTTTAGCAGAGCTGCCCTTTGAAGCTTCTTAACTTCATTCTTGATTATTCTGTTTCTCTGAAAAATGCCAATGTAAGAAAGCATTCACTTAGAAACAAAATTCCATCTGGTGCTTGTTTTCAGAAAGAACATTAAGAATTCCTTATGGGCATGGTGCAAAACAAAACTTTCCTTCCACACAATGCGCCCACGTACTGGCTGCTCCTCCAACATCAAAGCAGTTAAGACACAGTACTTACCATCTTCTTTGCCTTCATGACTTTAAAGCGGTCGAAATCAGTCATCTTTGCTTTCTGTTAAATAAAGAGAAAAAATACATTATCCCTCTAACACCACTACCAAACACCCCAAAAAAGCCCTGCTCCAAACTCTGGGGGGTGTTACCCTTTCTCTGGCTTCAATCTTCTTGGCCCATCTCGTGGCTGCCCATTTTGCGTTGATATCAGCCTTCTCCCAGGCCTTCCGGACATACTTCTGGCGGGCACTGCAGAGCCAAGACAACGGATTAAAGACCACCTTCCAGATTACACACGATTGCAGTGCATCCTTCCCACTTTAGCTTTTGCCGTCTGCCTTAGACACATCCCTCCTAGCTTACTGTATTTTTCCCACATTGGTGGGGTTCACTAACACACCCTACATTTTTACTTTTTTTTTTTACAATCAAAATCACAACCCAGTGCATTTAATTGATTTTCAACAACCAGCAAACTCCCCTGGAGTCACCTTCTTTTTGGTGAATGAAGGACCAGACAATCCCTGAGATTACTCCTGGCACACCTTTGTAAATGTACAGTCAGTAAACCTTCAAGTTACTTCTCTGTGATGGCCACATTCCCACACAGCTTCCACTAGAAACACCACAAAGCGACACACCAACCAACCAGTATTTCAATTTCCAAAGTCCAATTATTTATCATTGCCTCAATTCCGGAATACAAACCGAGAACAGCACATTAAGCACCTTACAAATGATCAGATACTGACAGCCTGACTAGCGACAATTACTATGTTTAGAGACAAGAATTGGTATTTTTGTTTTAGAGCTGAAAGTAACCAAGAGATACTCTTTAATAGAGTAAAAAATTCCTACAGAACCTTGCTGTGTGAAAACACTTATGGGGGTGTTGGGGTGGGTGGTGTGGCGATGTGGAATCTAGAGAAACAGAAAGCCAACTCCAAATAAAACCACAAAACGGCAACAGGGTGGAAAAGTAACTACAGGACACAGTAGAGGCACATCAATGCCGATTTACTTCTTACAGGTGGGGCTGGGCTAGCCAAGGCCAGGGGTCTGCAGCTCAGCCAAGGTTTTCCCCGTGTGTTGGGCAAGCCAAGTACCCCCAAACGATTTGATCCATCACCCTAAAATGCACATGAGCAAGTGGCTGAGATGAACTGGAGCCAGGCCTCCAAACCCAGCCGTTCCTATATGGCAGGGAGCATCCCAACACCCACCGACGTGTCTACTTCCATAACGCCAGGCCCTCCCCTCGGCTCCTACACTGAAGCGCATCCAGAGGATAAGCACAGACATTTCCCCCTAAACGGTACAACGCAAGCTTTCTGTAGCACGCATGCCCAATAGCTGCAGCCTGGAGGAGGCAGATTACCTGTGTGGGAACTTGAGGATGAAATCCGTCAGCTGCATGCATTTGAAAGGCATGGCCTGCCTTCTGACCCGCGTGCAGGGCCCATCCACCAAAGCCTGGGAACGCAAGACCAAGATCTCATCGTAAAACGTCCCACTCGCCCCCGAAAGCACCTCCCACCCTCAGGGGCACGGGGAAGAATTCACTGTTCCTCCCACCGTCCCCGTGGAGCAAGAAGTCGCGGCCCCTCTTCGGGACACTCACCCTGTTCTGATCAATGACATCTACAATCGCGACCAGCTTCCCGGCATGAGGCCCAAAGGAGACGTAGGCCACACGGCCGACCTCCACGAAGCGCCTGAACACCTAAAACGGGCAGAGAATTCAAATGCAACGAGGCATCCAAAGAAAATCAAAAATTCTAGGATTTATTAGCAATCCTTTCCCATCGGGCTTAAAAACAAAAATAGTGAGTTCCAATGAAAAGTAAGCAGAAGCGGCCGCCCAGGATCCAGGGACCGACAACGGCGTGGAAGCCCGGTGCCCGCTGGCCCCGGAGGCCCAGCTGGACCAGCCCCGGCCGGGCGGCGCGCTCGCGTGGCCCGGCCATGCTGGGGCTCCCGGGCGCTCCACGCCACGCAGCCCGCTCGCCCAGCCTCGCCGCGCGCTGCCCGCGACTCTGCAGAGGAGCCACGAGCGCCTCGGCACCCCGAGCGAGGCGGAGGCCGAGCAGCATGGTCGCCCCGGCCGGAGCGGGGAACGACGAGACTCACCATGTCGGCGGCGTTCGGCGAGAAGGAAGGAGGCCCGCCCTTGCCCTGCGCATGTGCAGAAGGCCGCCCACCCCCAGCACGTCGACGTGGAAGCCGATTGGGCCTACGTGCCGGCGCGCCTGCGCGCTGGCGGCGCGCGGGGGTTGCTGGGAAAACATGGCGGCGCCCTGGCTTGTCTTGTGAGAAAAGTTGCACACCCCCGTTGGGGTTGTGGCTCGGGGAGAGTCAACCCGAGGAAGTTAGGCAAAGGAACGCAGGTGCCATGCCTTCCATGAAAACTCCACCTCGTCAAACCTTCTTTCGAATACTAGTCCTCTGCCGGGTGGGTTTTTTTTTTTCTACATAAGCGTTAGAATTTTCGCTTCTTCATCTCACTAAGTGTGTTCACTTTTATTTTCGTGTAGTTCAGTCTTAGTTCACATAAGACTAAGAGTTCCCATAAATTCTTGTAGATCCCCTGAGTGCTATTTGCGTTTGCTTTATCGTTTTATTCAGAACTGTTTGAGAGGAAACTCGAGACTTGATGGTCGTGCTCTCAAAAGTGTACTTGCGAACAACAGGCATTCTCCACCATCAGTTCTCATTAACGCTGGAGTATCAAATGCGATGGGTTTTCCCATTCAAAAAGCATTCCAAAGTGTGAGAAGATGGCCAGGTCCTTGAATTCCTGCCATCCATGTGGGAGACGGAAGCTGTTTAGCCTGGCTTTTGGCTCATTGGTTTTGCAGATGGTCTAAATACAGGTTTTTTCTCTTTTTTTACCCCCTGAAGAAATCACAGTATGGGAAAGCTGTCTTTCAAAAGTAGAAGGTAGGACTGAAGAAACAAGAAGACCAGTTCAGGAATACACAGAGTCCAGCTCACCCAAGATTTATGGACAAGTGCTCCCCAAACTCTAAAACCCAGGCAGCCTCTGGCCAGCCAGGGAAGAGTGGAATTTTTCTTTCTTTCTTTTTTTTTTTTTAAGATTTATTTATTTTTACTGCAAAATCAGACATACAGAGAGGAGGAGAGACAGAGAGGAAGATCTTCCATCTGTTGATTCACTCCCCAAGTGACCAGAACTGCTGGAGCTGCACCAATCCAAAGACAGGAACCCAGAGCTTCTTCTGGGTCTCCCACATGGGTGCAGGGTCCCAAGGCTTTGGACCATCCTTGACTGCTTTCTCATGCACAAGCAGGAAGCTGGATGGGAAGTGGAGCTGCCAGGATTTGAACCAGTGCCCATATGGGGTCTTGGCATGTTCGAGGTGAGGACTTCAGCTGCTAGGCTTCCGTGCTGGACCCAGCTGTATGATTTTATTTGTGTACAACTGAAAGGTCAAAATGAGTATGTGGGTCCCGGCGCGGTGGTGCAGTGGTTAAGGTTCTGCTCGCCTTGCACGCCCGGGATCCCAAATGGGCACCAGTTCTATCCCGGCAGTCCCGCTTCCCTTCCAGCTCCCTGCCTGTGGCCTGGGAAAGCAGTCAAGGATGGCCCAAAGCTTTGGGACCCTGCACCCGCGTGGGAGACCCGGAAGAGGCTCCTGGCTTCGGATCGGCATAGCATCGGCCGTTGCGCTCACTTGGGGAGTGAATCATCGGACGGAAGATCTTCCCCTCTGTCTCTCCTCTCTGTATATCTGCCTTTCCAATAAAAAAAATAATAAAAATGAGTATGTGGCTGTTAGGAGTAATGAATGTTTACTGACAACACTGTAGGCAGCAGCAGCTACTGGCTAAACGTCACCAATCTTGGCTACAGGAGAGTTTCGCTTGATAAAATCCAAAGCCCTGTCCTTATGTTTGTGCATTTCCCCCCCTCCAAATATTCGTTAATTTAAAAGATTTTTTTTAAAGATTTATTTATTTTATTGGAAAGGCAGATGTACAGAGAGGAGGAGAGACAAGGGAAGATCTTCCGTCTGATGATTCACTCCCCAAGTGAGCACAACAGCCGGAGCTGAGCTAATCTGAAGCCCAAGACTCTTCCAGGTCTCGCATGTGGGTGCAGGGAACCTCTACTGCTTTCCCAGGCCACAAGCAGGGAGCTGGAGGGGAGATGGAGCCTCCAGGACATGAACTGACAGCCGTATGGGATCCTGCCATGTGCAAGGCAAGGATTTAGCCACTGAGCCACTGTGCCAGGCCCACTCCTTAGTTTTCAATCTTTGTTGTGAACTCAGGGCTGTTGCCAAAGGCTGCATCTTAGAGGGATAGCGAGGCGGGGCCTTACCTTTAACCACTTTGGAGTGTGAAAGGCAGTCTTGGAGCTTCACTGGTGCTAAGTGGGCGCTGTCCTGGAAGCCCTACCCACAGCTCTCATGGCAAGGGGTGAATACTGGGGGCAGGGGGAGCTCCGTACTGGACTGTTGAGCAGAAGCTGGGCAGTGAGGGAGGGTCGCAGCACACCCCGTTTCTGAGCAGCACATACCGGGTCTGACTACCTGTAACCTAGCAGACCCCAGTATTTCCATCAGCTTCTGAGTAGACGCATGTTTTGCTTTGGTTTGCCCTAGTCACTGGAGATAGAGTTGAGATTCACTGTCTGGAGCCTCAAAAAGGATGGAAATGAGTAAGCTAACAGAAGGGAATCAGAGGCGACTCAGAATCCTGAGGTACTTTGTTTAAAAAATATATATATGTGAGTTGACGCGACGGCTCAACAGGCTAATCCTCAACCTAGAATCACAAGTATCCCATGTGGGCTCTGGTTTGTGTTTCAACTGCTTCACTTCCCATCCAGCCCCCTGCTTGTGCCCTGAGAAAGCAGTAGAGGATGGCCCGAAGCCTTCAGACCACGCACCTATGTGGGAGACCCAGAAGAAGCTCCTGGCTCCTGGCTTTGGATTGGCTCAACTCTGGCTGTTGCAACCCCTTGGGGAGTGAATCAGAAGATGGAAGATCTTTCTCTGTCTCTCCTTCTCTCTGTAAATCTGCCTTTCCAATTAAAATAAATCTTCCATCTGCTGAGTGACTCCCCAAGTGGCCTAGGCAGCCAGAGCTAAGGTGATCCAAAGCCAGGAGCCAGGAGCCAGGAGCTTCTTCCAGGTATCCCATGCAGGTTCGTGGTCCCAAGACTTCCCACGCCACAAGCAGGGAGCTAGATGGGAAATGGAGCAGCTAGGACATTAACTGGCACTCAGATAGGATCCTGGCATATGCAAGGCAAATTTTAGCCACTAGGCCATTGCGCCAGGCCCAAAAATAAATCTTAAAAAAAAAGGCGGGGAGTAGTGGTGGCATCGCATATAGACCCTGGTTCATATCACACCATCTCGTTGCTGATCCAGCTTCCTGCTAACAGCCTGGGAGAAGCAGGGGAATGTGACCCAAGGGCTTGGTCCCCTGCGTCCACATTGGAGACCTAGAAGGATCTCTTGGCTCCTGGCTTCAGCTCTGCCCAACCCCGACTATGTGGCTACCTGAGGAGTGAACTTGGGGCATGGAAAAATCTCTCTCTGTCTGTAACTGTGACTTTAAAACAAATCTTTTGTTGTTGTTTAAAGCCCTTTTAATTAGCACAAGTATACGTATTCTGGAGTGTGATATTTCAGTAAATATATACAGTATGCAATCAGGGTAATTGTTGCAACATTATGTCAAACACAGGTTTTGTGTGTGTGTGTTGGAAACACTCAATATTCTAGCAGCTATTTTGAAGTATACTGGTAATTGTGGTCAACTATGCCACAATACCAGCCCCGTTAAACATCATCATAGAAACATAAGCTGCTTGTGCTTTGCACATGGACCACTTGAGATCCATCTATCAACCACAGACCCACTTTTGAAGCTAAGAATATTTATAATATAAGAATATCTTGTTTTTATATGAGGTAGTTCTTAAATCATCAATTATATTATATATTATCAATTAATTATATATTAGGAAGTCCCACAAACTGCAATGTGATACCCCACTTGTCACTGTGGGGCATATTACAGTATATTCAACTGAAAAATTATTGTAAGAGAACTCTGAAAGTATAATAATTATTCACACATCATACGTAATTTATACTGTTTGTGTACAAACACTTCCTATTGGCTACAGCTTTTTTCACTCTCCTCATTAGGTCTTCAAAGTATCCTTTATGAGATTAAAAAAGTCAAAAGCTGGCCAGACTTCCATGGTGTTAAGCTGACTGTTAGTGTAGTTCCATGAATCCACTGGGTTGTTAATCTCTGTCATCTCGATCAAGATCAAAATCGAAGTCATCAGCACTTTCTTCGGTTCTTCTCCAATTTCCTCTACAGCCGGAACCATCCATATTTTCTGACTTTTCAGGGTCTTTGTTAAAAGGAACAACAACATCTTCTTTCTTTTCACATTTTGCACAAACTTCAAGTTCATAGGCACATTGTCTAACATTATGTCATAAGAATCTTTTGTAAACACTTAACAGTGGCTACACGCTCTAATTCTCGCGGCGAAGTCTTCTTTAATAAATTTACTGCAAGACAAAAATCCAAGACGTCGTGAGGTGCTTAGTAGGTCTTTTATTCTAGCAGGGTAGGAATAGGAGCAGGGGTGGAGGGGGATAAAACTAGAACGGTTACATCTCCTGCCACGGTGGTAGGGTGGGGGCTGCCAGGGCAGGGAGCGGGCAGGAGGATGGAGGAGAGGCAGGAGAAGGGGAGAAAGGGAAGAGGAAGGGACGGGAAGGAAGGGAAGGGAAGAGAGGGGAGGGGAGGAAGGGGAGGGGAGGAAGGGGAGGGAGGGAAGGGAGGGGAGCAGAAGGGAAGGGAAGGAACAGGAGGGGAAGGGAGGGAAAGGAGGGGAGGGAAGGGAAAAACGGGAGGGGAAGGGAGGAGAAGGGAAGGGAAGGGAGGAAGGAGAGGGAAGGGGAGGGGAGGGGAAGGGAAAACGTGGAAGCTGGGAAGGACAGAAGAGAAGGGGACCATAGAATATTCTTCAAAATTCCAAGTAAAATATCTGAGGGTCTTTGGTTTTAGAGCACAGTTTCTCAGTGAGTAAGTCATTCCAAAAGGAGAGTTACAGATGTGCCTCACCAAGGGCATGGACAATGGAATTAAAAAGGAAGTGTAGTTTGGTGCAGAAATTTGGAAATCTTTTA